CATTGAATTTATTTAATACACGAGTTTCACAATTTGAGTTGAATTACTGAAATAAATGAACTTTTCCACGACATTCTAATTTATTGAGATGCACCTGTAGTTTTACTCATACAACTGCCTGCTGTTGCTTCTGATGGCTTTTAGCTGGAAAAGCTGCCCATAATCCCTGGTCTAGGATCTGTTTTCTTCGTAAAAATAGTATAACAAAATTAACAGATTTGGCAAACAATCCAGTTTATCTGCCCTTCTGCTTTGGAAAGCGTCAAATGATTTTACAATGCATTTTCGCAGAGGTGAGCAATTTAGCCAATCACAGACATGTTTGTTGATTTCTAAAGCGCAATGGCCAATCGGAGGTGCTTAGGTTGGAATCCACGCACTCACCGCTCCAGTCACCGTTCTTTGTCCAGTGCTGCGTTCTATCATGCTCGTAACTTCTTTCTAACAAAGACATTAAAAAAGTTTCATCGTGTAGTCACGTTCGTTGTTTTTTTTTTCTAATCAATTCTAACTTTGTTAGATCGTGATGAATGAGTGACAGTTTTTAATACATTTAAAGGGAGCACTCTTTGCATGCATACGATAATATATTCAGAATTTAAATTAAACTTGTGTATTTCATGCTTGACAAGCGGCCACGTACGACACAGACCAAGCTAACTACTACACTATATAGAAAAAGATAATAATTTCAGAAGCACAGATGTGAGTCCAAACGCAGGATTTAGGTAAGGAAACGGTTATTATTTGTATTGGCTGCCACGCCAAATTATGCACACCTGCTTGCTTTTCTGTTTAATTTAACAGTGTTTTTGTGAACATATATATACTTTAATAACAAATAATTGTAACACTTTACAATAAGGTTCTATTAGTTAATGTTAGTTAATGTATTAAAGTGTATTATCGTGTTAATTAATTATTGTAAAGTGCTACCTAAATAATGTATTTCGAGCGTTCACTTGAAAATATTATCAATTCGGCCCCCCTAGAAATATAAAAGCCCCCCAGGTCGTGTGTCCTGGCGCCGGGCCTGTATATATATATATCTGCATATATACAAGACAAACAGAAATATTTCGTCAATAAAACACAATTATTAACATATAAAATAATAGCTTTTTAATAACTAAAAATAAACTAATTTTGGAGTCTGATGATGAACACACTGCAAGACACAACTATACAGCATAGTTTAAAACAAGTTTGGCAAATAGATGAAAAACAGATTCAGACATTCAACAAAACTAAGCCTTAGAAGACATGTATACACACATATGCATACACATATAACAGACATAATACATGTTCAAATTTGACTGTAATATTGTGACATAATTTAAAATATATACTTCAGTTAAAAAAAAAAAGCTAAGCTTTATATTGTCATAATATATATATTTTTTTATGTCTAAACAAATCTAAATGAAAAAATTGAGACTGGTACATGAGCCATTGAGTAATCCTTTGCAGCCATCTAGTGGCTGTAGTTGAAATTTCATGTTATTTTAATTTTAAAAGTGTTTGTTTTCCAAAAGATTGAGAAAAAAAAAATACCATAAATCCCCCAAAACTGCACAACTGTACAGTGAAGACATTAATAAAGTGAGTAATGTTACGTTTAAAAAAAAAATGGTTATGTAAGCTAGTTGGACAGAAAAAGGAATACTGTTGCCTTGTGTAGCATAGCAAGAAGCATAGTATCACATAAGTAATATATTAACCTATTGTTCATCCATATGTCATGGCCACACAATGTTAAGTTGTGGCCTCAAGATATTATATTGATAGAACCATAGATATGCACATCAACACGTCTGCCATCTTGGAATGGTCAATGTGTTGTCACAGTCAAAATCAATGAGTTTTCCGAGATCCAACAACATGGTGCAGCCCCTGTTTGTAAAAACGGCCGAGATTTAAATTCCAGAAGAAATGGGAAAACCTTTCACATGTGAGAAAGTGTTGTTTTGTGTTTTTATATGTATTAACTCAATTTTTAAAAAATTTTTTGTATAAACTAACACATTTGTTTTGTGTAATTGTGTTAGTTTAACACAATTACAAAATGATGTAACCTGATACTGCAATAAACAGTCTTTTAATGTAAACTTTATAAATAATTTGTATGTATAAAAAAAACGCTGTTTGAAATTTTGTTACCTTTAAATATAGTGAGTCTTCTTCAAAGATAGATTTTAAACATTTTTGTTATTTATAAATTTTGTTTTATATATACATATATATACATATTTTTACAAAAAAAAAAAAAAAAACTTTTGTTAGTGAGGACTTTAAACGGTTAAGGAAAGAACAACATGGCTAGCAGAAGATTGAAATTTAGGAAGAATTTTAATAAATACTGTATATAAAATCTATGTCCAGTATGAACTGACACTACAGTATGGACATGTTACGTTTTACGCTGTTAGATAAGTCTTCTAAAAATGAGCAAAACACAGAAAACTTTATAACTGATACAGTTGGAGTCGCTCCCCCTCTAAGGAAATTGTCACTTCTACCAAGTCATGTGACAGAAGATTTTAAAAAGCGACCTTCTGCTCGGCTGATTCGCTGCTTCTCCGCCGCCGTCAGCGTCGCAGCAGCGCGGTCCCAGCTGATACCCTGCCGCCATCCGGCGAGCCTAAAAGAGCTTATTTCTAAGAGGTAAGTTCTAAAAGAGCTAGATTTCTAGCGACGTTGTTGCAAATGTCGTGCTGCGAGTGTGGCTCGTGCAGGGAACCTTGCACAATGCAGTGAGTGCGACGCCTGTCTGGGCAGCCCCCACGCAGAGACTGCACGCTCACTGAGACGGAATGCTCTCGCCAAGAGCATGAGTCTCGCTCTTCTCCGCTCGCAGACCTCCTTCAATGAAGGCAGCCCCGCTCTCCCGTTTCTCCCCTCCCAGCGAGCCTCGGAGAGAGAAACATGCAGCAGAGTCAGGGAACTAAGCAACCGGGTCTGAGCTCGCTCTCCCCGCTGCACTTCGATCCTGGTCTTACACATGAGGATCAGCACCCCTCGTTACATCGAGCGGCTCTATCCTCCTAGGCGGATCGGAGCAGAACGCTGTCACTGGCAGCTTAGCATTTGTGTGTGTGTGTCGCTAAGGCTGCGCTCACAGCTCACAGCCTGTTCGCTCGCGGAAGGTGGCCCAGCCTCCCCGCTCTCATGTTTCTCTCCTCCCAGTTACCGCAGTGGAAGCAACAGCGAGCTCACGGGTTGAGCGATCAGGCTTGAGCAATTTCATTACACACATCATGCGTGCAGCGTGCTTTACTTGATCTTCCAGTGTGTGTTACACGTGAGGATCAGCGCCCATCGTTACACCGAGCGGCTTAATCCTCCTAGGCAGATTGGAGCAGAACGCTGTCACCTCTATTGCTGGCAGCTTCGCATTTGTGTGTGTCGCTGAGCCCCGCTTTCTCCGCTCTTGTGTTTCTCTCCTCCCGATTACTCGGAGGAAGAAATGGCGAACTCGCGGGGATGAGCGATCAGGCTTGAGTGATTTAATGCCGGCAAACCCCCCGCGTGCATCATTCTCCACGCAGCTCTTTGATCCGCCAGTGTGTTTACACGTGAGGATCGGCGCCTCTCGATTGTTGAGCGGCTCAATCCTTCTAAGCGGATCGGAGCAGAATGCTGTCACCAATGATTCAATATTGCTGACAGCTTCGTATTTGAATGTGCCTCTCGTCTGGGCCACGCCCACACTGAGGCTGCGCTCGCTGAGACAGACTGCTCTCACTACGAGAGTTTATGTCTCGCTCTGCTTTGCTCGCGGCTTGTCTTCTTCAGTGAAGGCGGCCCCGCCCCTCCCCTTGTCCTCTACGAGCGGATCTGAGAGAATGCGCGCAGCACTTTGATCTGCCAGTGTGTTTTCACATAAAGAGCATCAGTACCCCTCTTCTAATGAGCGGTTTGATCTTTTTAGGCGGATTAAAAGAGAATGCTGTCACTAATGATTAATATCACTGACAACTTCAGATTGGACGCGTCTGGGCCACGCCCACACTGAGGCAGCACGCTCAGGGGCTGACTGCTCTCGCTACAAGAGCATTAAGTCTAGCGAAGCATTTTTTGA